GGGAAAATATAGATCAGCAAAAGTTTGACTATTGGAAAACTCCAGATGGCCTATTTTGGATATGTGGAAAAAGAGCATACCCAAAACTTCCCTCTCAGTGGAAAGAGAGCTGCACTCTGGGAATCATACAACCAGGATTTTTTCTTTTGCCAGGACCTGATGGAGATCAATTAGAGATACCAGTTTATGGGAATCTAAAGAGTATCTCTTTGTTTTTATTGTCTCATATTGTCCTAATCTCAATTGTTCAATTTTTATTACTCTAATTATATTACTATTTTTATAACCATTTTATTACTATTAAACTTTTAAAATTTTAAAAACAAGTGATTGGCGTTTTTCACAGTTAGTTTAGCTAAGCAGGCCAAACCTTTCGCTGGACTGTTTTTCCTTTCCCTTTTTTTGGAACCACTCAAACCTACTCCGGACTGGGACCGGGGAAACACCAAGAGTTTGCATCTTGTGGCTGCAGCAGCTATCCCCAGCGCCGGAGGGACCGACAGCAGAGCAACCACTCGTAGGAAAGACTTTCTGAATTTGCCATCCTTTTCAGATCAGTGAAAGAGTGTTGTCATCCGGTATTGTTCATTTTGTGTGCTGGGGGTGTTTTGCCTGTTAAATAAACAGGTTCTTTCCACTTTTCTCTGAGGAATCCTTCCTGAACCGGTAGGGGGGAGGGGCCGTGTGGGTTTGCTTTCTGGGGGGCCCCCTTTGGAGGTTTTCTCTCAAATTTGCCCTAATCCAGGACACTAAGGAACTTCATTAATCAATTTGCCAAAAGTAAAGACTGCAGCAAGGAATCAAGTATCTATCAACCAGAGTGTGAACTGGAAAATCCATCCTTAATTTATATACAATACTGTGATCAGAACAGTTTGCCAGGCTCTTTCATCAAGTATACTTCCATTTTATGACCTGCCTTTCAGAGACAACAGTTTGGGGGAGGGGAGAAACAGGAACCCAACAAAGTTACCAATTAATTAAATATAAGTGCCTTTCCCATGCATCTTTAACTGTAAGCATTGACTTTATACAGCAAAATTAAACCCCAGGCCTACTAAATGTCATTTCAAGGCAGCACGTTAGACTCTTGTGTCCTCTGTTGCTGCCCCTGCATACAAAACAGCAGATTAACAGGCAGCCCTATGTTTTAGTTGATCATACAAATCAACCAAACAAAGGATTTCACCTTGAGCTACAGCACTTTTTTATTATGCAAGCAGGATGGACATAGATTTACAAAACATAAAGAACATGCATGAAAAAGACTGCTTAGTCCTCACACAGCAAGTACTTGACATGCTCTGTGTCCCAGCTCTTTACATACTGCTCTCAGAAATCACAGACACATTCTTGTCATTCATATTAACATTTGAAAGAAACCCAAGATTGCCCTGCTAAAAATTGAGTCACTAAGAGAAAATCAACTGTGCTGAAGTTTTACAACTGGCTTAAGCCAATCTTTGAGATTCCACTTGCCTCTTCCTCATCCACCCAAACAGTTTCACAACCTCTATGACAGCAACTAGTCCTCAGGTAGCTACAAGATCAGCTGCATCATATCTCTGTCTCAGTAAAACTAACCCTACAAGAAAGCCCATCTGCACAAAGCAGCAAGCTGATCCAGCTGATTCCCCAGCTACACACACATTGGTGCCAGCAAGAACAAGCAGGTGGGAACATCCTATTCTGCAAAAGCACAACTTCAGACAAAAATTACACCCTCAGCCAAGCTGGAAAATGATGTTATTGTTTTCATTCAGATTTGCTTTTTGCTAACAACAGAAGCAAGACAATGCTTACAGTGTCATTATACCAATACCCCCACTGCTCACACTGAGTAGCACTGTTTGATTTTTCCCAGTCTTTACTTTTATTTAGATTATAAACACCTCTTTTTTTCTATGTTAACAGAATGCTTGGCTTCTGTTCTGCAGCAATACATATTTACTGATAAAATGCCAAGCCCAAAAGAAACATGGACTCTTTAAACACTAAGATATCAAACGTATGCCTGTTTTCTGGTGGAGATCAGAACATGCACTAATCTTAGCACAAAACCTACTCACAGGTTTGCTGTACAGGCAATGCAAGTGGGTAATGGCCTCATATGTCCTACTTGAAAAAGTGCAGAGAAACAATCCATGATATAAAGAAACATCTGAGAAGTGAGCAGTGGTAAAAGAAGCCAGTGAGTTTGATATCAAGAAGGTTAATTCAATTTCTACTGTAACTGTGAGCTTTTAGTAGAAAGACACTGTGACTGTGAACTTTTAGCAGAGAAGACACTCTGTGGACCTTTAGCAGAGAAGCAAGGCATGCAGAAATTGTTCTCCAAGCAAGGACGTTAGAAGATAAAGAGGAGATATCTGGTTTAGGAATGCAGCTACAGCCAAAACAAGGACTGAATTTGGGAACATGGGAAGGACTTTTATGGTAATGGGCAAATTATAATATGTATGTAGTGACTTTATATTAGCAACACATTTGTAGAAATCAGGGGGGCATGTTGGGAAGGAGTGATCCTCCATGCCCTTCCAGGTGCATGAATAAATGATGCCCTCTAACACAAAAACTAGTGTTAAGGAATCTCATTCCAGTTTTCAGAGATTTTGTAACAAATTGACTGACTGAACTACATTTCCAGAGACAAGACCACACAATCAGACAATCCATCTTGATGTGAAACTCTGAAGCACTATCTAATGGGCACACACTTTGATATAATTGAATTTGTTCAGTGCCAAAATCACATTTGTCAGTTTTTGTGTCTTGCCCTCCACATTTAATTTCAGGAGGTTGGGAGACAGCACATGTTGACAGATGACAAAGGATGGAGAAGTGAGAGACTTTGCTAAAGGGCATCTCTACCACCCACACTATACTTGGCACAGAAACTACTAGACTCTGAATACAGACATGGGTATCATATGCAGTTCACAGAAAACCAAATACTCTTGAGACCGAGGCGATGAACACACATGGAAACTGAAGGCAGAGAGATTCTATTTCAGACTTAATTCCTGTCAAAAGACTGTTTTGTTTATACAGCTAGGCCTTGCTTCTTAAGAGCTACTGCATGAAAGCCTCCTGCTATGTAACTATGAATAATAACAGAACATCTAAAATGAAAAAACGTTTTAAACAGAAGTCTCAAAGGCTTGAGAGGGATTTATAATCCCTGAAAAACAAATCTGACCCTGATTCAAAACTATATGCACCAAAATCTCCCCAGGCCCCACTGATCCATATATCCGAAAGTTTTTACAAAAAAAAAAAAAAAAAAAAAAAAAAAAAAAAAAAAAAAAAAAAAAAAAAACAAAAAAAAACAAAACAAAACTAAAAAACTTGAGGCAAAGAAATAATCACACCTAGTGATATACTTTGAGGTTTCAGAGCTGCTTGATCTATACATTCTCTACAATGCTCAATTCATTTCTGTGGCACTAACCAACCTGCAAAGAACAGGTTTGGGATTCTAATTCAATTAGAATTTCATATATGACATTGAAACCTCAGCCAATGAAGTTGGGCCACTAACTCCAGCAGAGAGAGCATTACCTAAGTATGATCTCCTCCATTTATTAATCACATAGTACATTATTTTAATATTTTCCTATAAATGGATGCTATGGAAATATGAAATCTGAAACATGACAGAGTGTGGCCACAGCTCTCTTCACAGAGAGCAGCAGGCACAACTTTCCCAGGATTTTTCTTGGGGAAGGCTGTGAGAAAGGTCAGAGAAAGAAGAAAAACAATTATCTTAATCTCTGCACCTGTTGTTATGCACATATGGAATGTATTATGGAGATTGTTTGCCAAAAGGTAGTTTCTTAATTGGACTCTGGTGATGGTGGTTTTGACTGATTGACCAACTAGGTCAAAGCTGTGTCATGACTGTAAGGGTCACGGGTCTTTCTTTAGTATAGTAGTAGCATAGTATAGTATAGCTTAATAAAGCAGTTGTTCAGCCTTCTGCAATTATGGAGTTGAGGCTTTTTATTCCCCGTGTTGGGGATGCCCTGCCACAATAACAGAGTCCAAACAGATTTCAAATTTTGCTAAAGCATGTAAAGATACATAAGCAAGGGAAGTTATTTAAACACTGAAAACAGATTTAGAGTGGGAAAAAAATTACAAACTGGAAAAGCAGAAGAATCATCCTGAAGATCTAATTTTTTTTTTTTTCAGTTTGGAACATTTCTAGCTACTTTGAAGAATATCTGGAGTTTAACCATAGTTTTTAGTTTTGTAGCAACTTTTTGAAGTCACAGAATCATTAGGGATGGAAGGAACTTCTGGGGATCATCCAGTCCAACCCCCTGCTAAGGCACAGCCACACAGAGCAGGTGACACAGGAACATGTCCAGGTGGGTCTTGAATGTCTCCAGAGAGGGAGACTCCGTGACCTCCCTGGGCAGCCTGTTCCAGTGCTCTGCTACCCTCAATGTAAAGAAGTTCTTCCTCATGTTGAGGTGAAACTTCTTGTGTTGTAGTTTATGGCCATTGCTCCTCATCCTGTTACTGGGCATCACTGAAAAGAGTCTGGCACCATCCTCTTGGCACCTACCTTTGAGATATTTATATGCATTAATTGAGATCCCCTCTCAGTCTTCTCTTCTCTAGACTAAACAGGCCCAGCTCCCACAGTCTCTCCTCATAAGAGAGATGCTCCAGACCCAAGTCAACAGCACAGAACCATACATAAAACCAAATGGTAAAAGACTGAGCACAATAAAAATAGTCTTACAAGCAAGTTTTGCCAGGCATGTTAGCTACCATTTAGCAAAGCTAACATCATTCATTAACTTTACATTTGCAGGACAGGAAGAAAGATCAAACCCTACTGTTGCTTGTTATCCTGCAAATAGATGTAAATCGCTCTATGTGGATTAGACAGATGCTGCATGAGATATAGGCCTCATGTTCAGGTTTCGGGCCATACCCATAGTGCCATGTTTTCAGATGAGAATGGGTGATCGTTAAGCATTACCTTCATTCAAAATTAATTGTGCACAAATTGGAATCCACACCTAATTATTTCTTAATATATTCCTTGGCTATCTACATACTTCAATTATGGTAAGTGTCATTTGGGGGTAGAATAATTAACAGCGAGAAGCAAAAGATAGGTGGCACTTACTGTGTTGCATTTTGTCCCACACACCACTTGCCGGTGGTTCAGCCACTGGGAGGCAAATACTTTATTAAGGATTCCAAGGTGAAATTCTCTCTCCTTCAAGAGGCTGGGAAGCTGCTGGGCTGCATATCCATGCAACAAGCGGTGATAGTTGGACTCATTCTGCATCCTGACCTCTCTACCTTTCAGGTAGTACACCACAGACCTTTTCACCCGGTGGAGTCTTTTCCTTTTGTGAACTGAGTGATCCCACCCATACTGTGGAAAAGAAGCATTAAACTTAGATAAAGCATCTAGAACAAACTTAAGACACAAGCCATCTAAATTCAAATATATTCTCAGCAAAATACTGAAGCCTTCCAAACTACCCATATAATACCATACATGAAGATTAACTAATAAATTGTGATAAAGCCTTCAGTAACATAAAATTAAACATAAATATTTGCTAAAGAAGTAACACTGCCATAATACTGAAAACAATCCACCCCGGCTCGGCACTGTTGGGACACCAAAAGCTTATAGAAACAAGAGGAAGCCAAGAAGCACTTTAAACGGAAAAGCAGCACCGACAGCCTCCTGGCGTGAGCTCGGCAGGTTTGGAGGTGACACCGCAGGGGCCATCTGATACTGACCGCGCCGTTCATCGGCCTCCTCCGGCCCGGCCTGGGGTGGCCTCGCAGTAACGCTCAGCTCTGGGGCGGCAGGGACTCGGCGGTTATGGGCTGAACAGAGAGCTCCCAGGGCCACCGGGGCAGGGAGCAGAGACGGGGGGAAGCTGCCCGCTGTATCGCACCGACAGCCACCGTGCCCGGTACTACTCCTTCCCACCATCTCCCCCCCAGGACACCTTCCCCAGGCACCGAAAGACCCCGCCCTTTTCCCCTACCTCAACCGGGCACCGGGACACGGCAATCCCCAGTCAGGGTCACCCCAGGCACCGACATATGGGCTTCTGCCCTCGTACACCCATTCCCGCCCCTCAGCCTACCTGCTCCCCCTGGAGCCCCCCGGCGGCAGCCGTCGCCGCTTTCCGCTTCCTGCTAACTGTTTTCCGGGCCATAGGAGAAGGAGGAGAAGGAGGAGAAGGAGGAGAAGAAGGAGAAGAAGGAGGAGAAGCCGAGAGCCCAACCTGGGCCCCACATGGAGCAAGAGGGGGAGGGGGCCACCGGGGTACGGGGCAAATAAGTGCGGGGAACCAGGCCCGGTCACTCTCTTCGTCACAGACCCTACCGACTGCGCTTCACGACATTTTCTCCGAGATGTTTTTACGACAGTCGCACCGTGCCTCTGCGACGGCTGTCCCACCCTGCCCGAGTCTCGTTTCCTAGCAACCGGAGGAAGGATGGCGAGTTTGCCCACCCTCTGCGGCTGCCAGGCAGCGTGGCCCTGTCGGGGGCGGGGCGGCGCCCCCAGCGGAGCTCGGAGCGAAGCTTCCCGGGTTCTCCACTTGTCCGTTCCCCGCTGCCCTGCACGGATCGTCGGCTCTCGCTGGCGGCCTCCCCGGGCCTCGTCAATTTAAGCATAGGAGAGGCTCTGTATTATCAACACCGTTTCCAGCTACTGTGTAGCAGATTAATTCTACCCCAGCCCAAACCAGCACAGTGATCTTTTACTGAGAGACAGCCTGTGAGCATATTCTTGTTGATTGTAACATGCACAATCTGAAGTTCTACATATCTCCTGTGGGAAAATCTGACCACAGTGATTGGGAAGATGTGTGCTAATGTCTTTACAAACAATTCTATGGGTGAAGGTGTGGGTGTTTGAAATGGGTCTTTGTTGCTGCGAACTCTCTGTGTGTGGAGACACAAGTCTTGACTCCATGTTTCTCAGAAGGCTGATTTATTATGTTAAATATTATACTAAAATGCTACATTAAAACTATACTAAAAGAACAGAGAGATCAGAAGGCTACAAAGAACAAGAATAGAATAGAATGCATAACAAAAATCCTGTGACTACTCACAGCCTTGGCACAGGTGGCTGTGATTGGTCATCAATGGAAAACAATCCACATGGACCAATGGAAGATGCACCTGTTGCATTCCACAGCAGCAGATAGTTATTGTTTACATTTTTCTCCTGAGGCTCCTCAGCTTCTCAGGAGGGGAAAAATCCCAGCAAAGGATTTTTCATAATATCATGGCTACAGGTCTTTAAGTCTCTACTAACTTCGGGCAGCAGGTTTGTTACAGGGCCCAGACAGCTTGGCTCCTGAAACAGACAAGTGGGGTCTACACAAGGCTGAACTTCTAAACTTTGGGGTAAAACAGTAGGTTCAAGGCGGGATATGTGGTAGGCGGTTCGGGAAGGCTGTACTGATTTGCAGAAAGAAAAAAACTAACTCCACAATTTTGTAAAAGTTGTAAAGCCGGTATGTTTATTACAGTGCTGGACACATGTGGGGATCCTTGTTCCCCCTAAAGGACATGCACACCCCTAAGAAGTCCTGATCCTTTTTTATCTTCCTTACTGATTCATATGCATAGAATTTCATAATAGGTTCATACGTATTAATTTTACTGATTTCGAGTTACACTTGCAGCTAGGTTTTTTTTTCAGAAAGTACAGAAAGAACTCCTGAGTCATCCTGCCCTGTCTCCCGCAGCCTCAGCCCCAGTCTCCGTCTGTTTCAAAGTTCAAGGGGCCCCTCTTATCTCAGTCCTTGGGCTGAAGCAGTTTTTCGAGCATAGGTTTTTTGTGAGAACAGGCAGTCTTGAACACAGACCAAACAGCTATGGTACAGACTTAATAATTCAAAGCAGCACATTTCACCTAAATCTGAAATGGATTTCCACTCTGGAAAATTTCTACTCTGTTTCAGTACCTTCCTAGTACCTCAGCCAGTGGGGAAAGGAAGAGGGGGCAACATGCAGCCAGGAATTTAGGATAAAAGGAGGCTGTGCCCACCGAAACCCCGAGAGAGAAAACCCCACGGGCATGTGAAAAACATGTTCACTCTCCTGTGAAAATCTAAAAAGTTTAATAAAGGACAATAGGAGACAAGGACCATAGAGCAAAGGGTATTACAGCCAGGTGCATCTTAGCACTCAGCCAAGACCACACCTGCTATTTTGGAAACACCCTTTATATACCATTTCTATTACATCAGCCTGTTACATATTCATAGACCCTTATGCATAGTAAACTTTCTTCCCAAACTAGTTTACATGTTCCAAGAATTGTTTAGCATGTCTCCTCCTTGGTTCCACCTTTTTATAGCATGCGGATTCCTTGGTTGTGGTTTTTAGTCCATTCTTATAATCTCCAGTTTTTGGGCCTTGGTCCACAGGGTCTTCAGACAGTGAGTGCTGATAGTTGGCATATCTGTAGCAGGTATCTTCTTCATATGTTCATTGGATGTTATCCCATCCAAGCAGGCATTTTAACACAAGCATACTTATATCAGCTACTGCACTAAATTAACAACAGAAATAAAAACTATATCTTTATAACAAAGTTACTTTAACATCACACATATAGAATCCATTTTAATATTTGCAAAAAGACAATATTATGTATCTATAACAGGCATGTGCCCCAGTGGACTCTCTCCCTTTATTCGAATAAAGCTGCAGGACTCCTCTATCTCCTTTATGGACACTGACTTTTCATAGCATGATTTTCCATACAACAAGCATAAAACACCTCCTCCTCCCCTGCCACTGCTAGACCAGAGGAAATAATGCCTGGCACTGGCTTCACTTTGCAAAACTTCATCCCAGGTTTCCCTTAAAGAGACCCGTTTAACTAGCTTGGCTTTATCATCTGGCTTCTCTGAGTGAATACCAGAGCCCAGTGCACAATGAGGTGCTTAGTCAAACTTTGAGGCACTCTTCTCCACCAATAAACTCCCTTATTATAGGGGAAAAAAAGGGCATACAAATATTTGTATGATTATGCTGCCTTAAAACTGATGTGGATGGATGTGTGCTTTTCCTTATGTTCACATGGATCATGAAATTTTCCTATGCTTACAGAGGCAAAAATTAGGAGTAACCCTAACCAAATGATCACCAATGAGCAACACTGTAGAGAAAAGAAAAAGGAAGACGGGAAAAAAAAGTGGGATGTACAGGCAGACTGAAAAGAAAGACAGCTGCTGACCACTTGAAACCCTCTGGTGTCTCAAGTAATGCAAAATCAGTAAACATACTATTTTCCTGAAAAATATGGCATTTCTTTTATACCTTTTTTTGGTGTCTTTTCACCTAACTAATGTCAAAGCCAAGGGTGCTGCAAAAAGCCAAATTGAAAAAAAAAAGAAAACCTAGAAAAGAACTTATCAGGCTTTCCAGCTTCCCCTGAGGATAAAACACCTAAGGGATAATAGTCTTTAGGCGTTTTCAGTCGTGATTTACCATGATTAATGCTCCTCTCTACATCCTCCCTCGCACACATAACTACCACCTCCATTTTGGACAAAACACCTCAATTTTGTACCAAGGCCCTCTCAAAAGACTGAAAACCTGCTGCAAAAGCTTCTCTTGGGGGAAAGTGCAATGCTTCAGGGCATCCAGCAGGAGTGCCTCTTCAGCGTGCCGGGCCGGCATCTCGAGGCAGCCATCTCTGCTAAGGAAAGAGGCTGAGACGTATGGAGCAAAATGCCCCCTTTGGGCCCGGCTCGCCACCTTCATCGATCCCAGAGGAGTCTGTCGCTGTGCCCAGCTAGGAGAGGGGTAGAAAGTACTAGAGGAACCCCCGGGCAAGGCCGGAACTGGGAACAGGCAAAAACAAACCCAAACACCTCCACACCGTTCTAGGCAGAAGGAAATATAAGCATTCTCGCCCCACCCCTCTTCCGCTGAGGTGATGTCACTGTGGGCACCTCCTGATTGGCTCGGACGGAGTAGGTGACCTTGCGGCGTGACGTCAGCGTGTCGTTGAGGAGGCGAGGTCGAGGGTAGGTAGACAACATGGCCTCTCCTGGTTGAGGGGCTAGGGGTGGTGATACGGTGCGCGTTTCGTACTGGCGGGTGGTGGGCAGTGACCGCGGGGACAGCTGGAACCGCCAGGTACCGCGCAGGTAACGAGCGGGTCGGTAGGGAATGGGAATACAGATGCTGGTCTGGATGAGGGGCGCAGCCGGCCCCGCTGCCGGGTTAAACGGCGCTACCGCTTCTCCTTGTCCGGGGCGAGGGACCATCCGCGCCCCTACCGTGATTCAGCTGATGTGACGTGCTGGCGGGGCGGCTGCAGGGCCGCTGGCCTCTCGGGGCCGGGGTTTGCATGTTTGGGGGCTGCTCCCCCGGCTGTGGAGGGGAGCGAGCCTGTGAGCGCTGCGTTACTGCATGGTCTTGCTCCGCCTTCACGGCCTCTCGGTATTGCTTTGGAAGTTACCCTTTAAAGGAGGTGTTGTACTAGCTATGGGGAAGGGAATGAGACTGAGATGGTATGTGTGGTAACAACACCGTTGAACCGATTTCTTCAGGGCCGTGTGCCAGTTGGTGTACCACCAACTGTACTGACTTCAGGGGTTTGTACATGCAGAGCTGTGATTCAAAAGTGTCAGTGATACTTTAGATCACCATTGCAATTGGGTGATTTAAACTTTTTAGACTGTCCTGCTTTCAGCTGGGATAAAGTTAATTTTCTTCTCAGTAGCTGGGACAGTGCTGGTTTTGGATTCAGTATGGGAATAATGCTGATAACACACTGATGTTTTGGTTGTTGCTACATGGTGCTTACCCTGAGTCAAGGGCTATTCAGTGTCTCAGGCTCTGCCAGTGGGTGGATGCACAAGGAGCTGGGAGGGAGCATGGCCAAGACAGCTGATCTGAACTGGCCAAAGGGATATTCCATTCCATAGCATGTCATGCCCATTATATAAACTGGGGGAGTTGGCTGGGAGCTACCAATCGCTGCTCGGGGACTGGCTGGACATGGGTCAGTGGGTGGTAATTGAACTCTGCAGTTTCTCTTGGGTATTATTCCCCTTTCTCTTTATCCTCATCATTATTATAGTATTTGAAATGTCAAAGGGAAAACCAAGGAAATCTTATGTATAAGATATGTGAATGAATAAATGTTAGTTTCTCTTTAGTGAATTAAACTTCAATTTTCAGACTACTGTAAGAGTACACTGATTAGGTGGGAGACTTATTGTATAGTTTATGTTGATGGATAAAAAAATTAATGATAAAAAAAATAATCAAAACCACGTGGAAGAGTTCCATCTCCATTGTTTACACGGTGTTTTGCAGTGCTTGGTACTTATCCTAGAGACAAAAATCTCTAACAGAATAGGAGTCAGGTTTCTGGACCAATCCAGCAGACTACAT